CACACCCCCACCCCGATCCCGGGGATTTCTCCCTATTCCACACCCCCCCCCCGATCCCGGGGATTTCTCCCTACCCTACCCCCCACCCCCGATCCCGGGGATTTCTCCCTTCGCTACCCTACCCCTTCCCCCGATCTCTCACCGAGGATGAAGCCTCCCATGAGGGGGGCCTCCCGCCGCACTGCCGCCGCCATCTTCACCGACTCGGTTCCCTCACAGTGTCGCCGCTGTATCCGCCCGGCCGCTGCGCCTCTGTCCACCTCATGGTCACGGAGAGTCGGGATGTCCTCAGCCGCCGGTCCCGGCCCCAGCTCCAGCCGCTTCTCTTTCGGTGTCGATTCAAAACCCGCCTTAGGCCGCGGGCCCGCTCCGCTCTGACAGCAACATGGCGACCCCTCGGCAACTGCGGCTGCGCACAGCCGGCTACCGGCCCACTCCGTAACTGCGGCTGCGCACAGCCGGCTACCGGCCCACTCTGTAACTGCGGCTGCGTACAGCCGGCTACCGGCCCACTCCGTAACTGCGGCTGCGTACAGCCGGCTACAGGTCCACACCGTAACTGTGGCTGCGCACAGCCGGCTACCGGCCTCTTCGCAACTGCGGCTGCGTACAGCCGGTTACCGGCCACTTCCGTAACTGCGGCTGCGCATTATGTGCAGCCAATTCTCTCCCTGCTATAAAAACAAAAGTTGCTGGAGAAGCTCAGTAGGTCTGGTAGTATCTGTGCAGAGAAATCAGAGTTAAGGTGCTCACAACTGGATCCGACACAAAGACAATTTCTCCACACTCTCGTCATGAAATATCTGCTGAATAGCTCAGTAGATTTCTGGGTCATTATTTCTGCACTCCCCCCAGTACAGGAAACACTCTCTGTGTCTCTCTATCCGCTTGACCAAAACCTTTCAGAATTTTAAAGGTTCTCAACATCTCACACTCAATTTTCTCCCTTCAAGAAAAAAAATTGCCTTCCCCACTCATCAGTGGAAACTTTAAAAGTAATGAAATTCCCCTAAAATTGCACTCTACCCAAAGCCAAATCTTTAGAGAAAACATTTCCAATTTCCACAGAGGCCAGTATACCATTATCAAATTGCCCTTTATTTACACAAGGAGAATCCTTGACTCAGATGGTACAGAACCTCTGACACTCTTGTTTATATCTGTCAGCCAGGGCACCCTGATTGGACCAGGTTAACAGGCCCAATCAGGGAACTCATGTTCTATGACATCCACCTAGCTGACCTCTTTACATTCACTACACCATTCAAATCTAATTTTCAGGGCTGATGCAGTCTCACCCCTGTGGTGCACACCAGTGGTGAAAGGTATTAAACATGGTGCTTGACACTGTGTGCTCCATCTCCACAGACAACGTCATAACTTGAAAGAGGAACGGGCAGTTGGGTTAAATCAACCCTCAACCATCGAGTTTGTTCAACTTAAAATGGAACTCCAGTTCAGACCATTTCAAAGTTTTATGTCCCACTGCCTGGACCTATCAAGGGCAACCTGGCCAGTGTGTTCTCCCCACCCATACATGAACACACTGAACCTTAATTAATACAATTCAAAACACTCGCCCCTTATTCTGTTTAGGCACCACTAACACAGGGTCACATTGGCTGGCCCCAGTTGTCCTGTGTAGTTGGCAATGAGTGTTCATTTTGATTTAGAAACATGGAAAGTAGAAGCAGAAGAAAGAAGGCCCATTGAGCTCACATTCAACATTATCATGGCTGATCTTCTATCTGAATGCCATCCTCCTACTCTCTCCCCATACCCCATGGCACCTCAGCCTCGAGGAATCAACCTATTTATTTGTTGAATATATTCAGTGACTTGGCCTCCACAGGTTCACTACCATCTGAGTGAAGAAATGGGCAATGGAGTATCCTAAGTCTGTGACCCCTTGTTCTGGATGCCTTCTCACACAGAGCCCCAGTCCCAGTCCCAGGAAACATCATTGCTGCATCCAGCATGTCCATTCGTGTTTACTTGTTTCCATGAGATTCCCTTCTCCTTTCATCCGTTCAATGAGGTGGCAGTGCTTTGACAATAGGAATCAAATGGGGATTGATTCCACACAGTGATGAGTGACAGTGATACCAGTTACAGGGTGGAAGGTGCTAGCAATGTGAAACCCAATGAAGCCTGCCTGTGCAGCCCACCTCCTTCATTCCCCTCCCCACCCCCCTCCCCAGTACTTCTGGCTTGATACAACACTTACTATTGATTCTGCTTCCACTGCTATTTCTGGGAACAAAATCTGTTCCCTGGCATTGATTCCATCTAGAGGGACTGTAAAACAACAATCAGAATTTTAAAATCAAGCTGCTGTAGGTCAGTGAGCAGAGGGGTGACAGTAGAGTGGAATTTGCCTCCAACTTACAGAGGGCGGAAGCAGCCAGGAGCATGTTAAAATAGGCAAGTCCAGAGGAAATGAGACATGGGTGAGGGTTTCAGCAGCTGATGAGCTGAAACAAAGTGGTGATAAAAAAAACTCCAGATGCTGGAATCCAAGGTGGACAAACAGGAGGCTGGAAGAACACAGGAAGCCAGACAGAACCTGGACAGAAGGAGAAGTTAATGTTTTGGGTATTATCCTTCTTCAGGACACATGTTGGGGTAGAGGGAGCTACAGATTAAGGAGGCGGAGGTGGCCTATCACCACATTCTGCCTCCACCCCTTCACCACCCCTCCCTTTTATCTGCAGCTCCCCTACCCCCACATCCAGTCCTGAAGAAGGGTAATAGCCAAAACGTTGAATTCTCCTTTCCTCTAGATGCTGCCTGGCCTGCCGAGACAGTGTGAAGTTGGATGATCTTATGGAACTACATGGAATGGCAATGGTGTCAGTCTCTCGTAAGAAGTTTGCCTCAGGGACAAATACAACAAAGTTTAGTTCGGTCTCAGACAGTCATCAGGGAAGGGGGGAAATGTTGGGAAGAGATAGTAGGAACTGCAGATGCTGGAGAATCTGAGATAACAAGGTGTAGAGCTGGATGAACACAGCAGGCCAAGCAGCATCAGAGGAGCAGGAAGGCTGACGTTTCGGGCCTAGACCCTTCTTCAGAAGTGGGGGAGGGGAAGGGGATTCTGAAACAAATAGGGAGAGAGGGGGAGGCGGATGGAAGATGGATAAAGGAGAAGATAGGTGGAGAGGAGACAGACAGGTCAAAGAGGCAGGGATGGAGCCAGTAAAGGTGAGTGTAGGTGGGGAGTTAGGAAGGGGATAGGTCAGTCCAGGGAGGATGGACAAGTCAAGGGGGCGGGATGAGGTTAGTAGGTAGGAGATGGGGGTGCGGCTTGAGGTGGGAAGAGGGGATAGATGGGAGGAAGAACAGGTTAGGGAGGCGGGGACGAGCTGGACTGGTTTTGGGATGCAGTAGGGGGAGGGGAGATTTTGAAGCTTGTGAAGTCCACATTGATACCATTGGGCTGCAGGGTTCCCAAGCGGAATATGAGTTGCTGTTCCTGCAGCCTTCGGGTGGCATCGTTGTGACACTGCAGGAGGCCCAGGATGGACATGTCATCTGAGGAATGGGAGGGGGAGTTGAAATGGTTCGCGACTGGGAGGTGTATTGTTTGTTGCGAACCGAGTGTAGGTATTCCGCAAAGCGGTCCCCAAGCCTCCGCTTGGTTTCCCCGATGTAGAGGAGGCCACAACAGGAACAGCGGATACAGTATACCACATTAGCAGATGTGCAGGTGAACATCTGCTTGATGTGGAATGTCTTCTTAGGGCCTGGGATGGGGGTGAGGGGGGAGGTGTAGGGGCAGGTGTAGCACTTCCTGCGGTTGCAGGGAAAAGTGCCGGGAGTGGTGGGGCTGGAGGGGAGTGTGGAGCGGACAAGGGAGTCACGGAGAGAGTGGTCCCTCCGGAAAGCAGATAAGGGTGGGGAGGGAAAAATGTCTTTGGTGGTGGAGTCGGATTGCAGATGGCGGAAGTGTCGGAGGATGGTGTGTTGGATCCGGAGGTTGGTGGGGTGGTACGTGAGGACGAGGGGGATTCTTTTTTGGTTGTTATTGTGGGGAGGGGGTGTGAGGGATGAGTTGTGGGAAATGCGAGAGACACGGTGGAGGGCGTTCTCGACCACTGAGGAGGGGAAGTTGCGGTCCTTGAAAAACGAGGACATCTGAAATGTACGGGAGTGGAATGCCTCATCCTGGGAGCAGATGCGGCGGAGGTGAAGGAATTGGGAATAGGGGATGGCGTTTTTGCAGGAAGGTGGGTGGGAGGAGGTGTATTCGAGGTGGCTGTGGGAGTCGGTGGGCTTGAAATGGATATCGGTTTCTAGGTGGATGCCAGAGATGGAGACAGATTTGTTTGTTCCTAATTTCTGGATGCTGTGTATAACAGTGAGCACACCTCCAATACAGTGGGCTTTTCAATGGACGGGACATAGTGAAGTTGTGGTCAATGCTGTTGAAATGCAATCTGACAATCTGTTTCTCACAATCTGAGCCAGACATGATGTGATTAAACACAGAGGGGCCTGAATGTGGAGAATTGTAAAAGGATTGTGAGTGAAGGACAGGGCCAGGACCAAGCTGCGGGTAAAAAGGCACCGCTGGGATTCGAACCCAGGATCTCCTGTTTACTAGACAGGCGCTTTAACCAACTAAGCCACGGCGCCGCCGAGCGCTCCTCCGGAATCGGCGCTTTTAGACTCAGCGCGCCTGCGCACTGCCTCTTTTCAATTCACCGCGCAAAAACTGAGAGCGCGCCTGCGCACAACCACATGGTGGGGAGGGGCAGTGGGGGTGGGGGGAGGATTGGAGGCAAAAAGGAGGGGAACTGGCTTAAAGAGTGAGGATTATGGTCTAAGGTGGCGGGGGGAATGGGGAAAGGTTAATGGGGAAGGGTAATTTGTGTGGGGTTAGGCAGAGGAGTGATTGTGGAAGGGGTAATGGGAGAGGCAGTGATGGAGGGTTAATGGGGCACAGAGATAATGGGTGGGCCAATGGGTTATTCATCCCAGATGAAATAGTTCCTCATGATATGGTTCCAAGAAAATCAAGACATTTGGCCCATATACACACTCTCCTGTTGTATATCCTCTCCCAACATCCCCAACTCTGACCCATAACAAGAGCTGGAACAGGGCAGCTCCTCGAGCCTGCTCTGCCATCATACTAAACTCCAATTCCCCCACAACCTACCCACTCATCCCCAGGGTCATTTGTTCACCAATTCTCCATCAATCTCTTTCTTAAATATGTTTTTAAAATCTACTTGAGTTGATCATTTAAAAGATTCACAACCCTTCGAATCACAGATTTGTTAAAATGCAATAGGAGGCTATTTGGCCCATTGTGCCTGACCCAGTTCTCTCTACCTGTCCGACCAACATCAACAATCTGTGCACATATACACCCAGCTCCCTCGGCTTCTGCACCTCTTTAGAATTTAGCCCCTATTTATATTGTCTTTCAACGTTTTACCTGCCAAAATACGTCACCTCACATTCCTATGCATTGATCCTCATCTGCCACTAGTCCACCAGCTCCACCAACTTG